AAGAAAGTTAGTTCACTGTGTCATATTAGACAATTTTTCTCTCCAGAATCTATTTTGCATACTTATCAGTCTACCATTCGCCCATGCTTAGAATATTGCTGCCACATATGGTCTGGTGCTCCTGCTATTTATCTAGAGCTCCATGATAAAATCCAAAGGAGAATCAGCAAAAATATTAGTTCTGATCTGGCATCTCGGCTTCAGTAACTTTCCCACCACCATAAGAATGCCTCCCTGTGCCTTTTCTATAAATACTTTTTTAATTTAAGCATGGCATTAGACCAGCATCCATACCTCATCAATTTGCAGTTGAATTTTCTCAATGTAACCAAAAGTTCTATGCCAACAGTTTCTTTTCCTGCACTTCTCGCTTGTGGAACTCCCTTCCAGCTTCATGCTTTCCAATGAACTTTAACTTTCAAAAATTTAAATGCAATGTCAATCATTATCTACTGTCTTCCTGATTACTCTTCTATTGTTCTTGCTCCTCAATAATGCTTGTTTTCTAATTCTTTCACACCCGGTAACCTCTTAGTGGCTTTACTGTCTTGCTTGGGGTGAACTCATTAAAAAAAACAAAAAAAAACCCACAGAAATAATAAAAAATAGCAAGAAGAACATGAATTATATTTGGGAAAAATAATTCAATGCACAACTTTTAAAATTCCATTTCCAATAATATCTACCTAACTGAGATAAAATAAAATAAAAGCTATTAAAAATAAAAGAGCACTCATTAGACATTTACATTGAATCAAATTTAATGCCAGACAAAATTTTATTCAGTTTATTCAATTAAATTCACAAAAATATTGTCATTTACAAAATTCTGTCATTCATTTTGACAACTCATATTTATATTCTGTACAGAATTTATCTTAGTTTTAATATTTTTTTCATTTCTCTCCAAAAACAGTTTACAATACAATTCCAATTCTCTTTGGGAAGAAGAAATACATTTGTAATTGGAATTGAATTATAGCAAGAAAAACGAACATACATTTAATCTTCTGTTATGTCAAAACAAAGATCAATAATTTGTAAAAGAGATTTGAGATCATGTATTTTCCAAGGGTTTCTGTCTGGATGTCTTGGGTGAGATATCATTATTTATATTATTTATATGTGGACTATTATCCTCATCTTTGTTGTTATTATCATAACATTTCATTAACTGAATTGAAAGACACCTGAAGAAGGCCAGAGAGTGGAATGGCCGAAACACTGTGATAACAACAACAAAGATGAGGACAATAGTCTGCATGTAAACAATGTAAATAAAATTAATGGTATGTAGCAAAAGTGAAAATATTTGTTGACTCAGCTTGACTAGCCACATAAAAAGATGCAATGGCTAGCCATGTTAAAATTGTTATTTAGCCATCTTGAAAAATTCACCTTTCACAAGTCAGCTTTGTATTTATCACATATAAAATGAAATATCAAATATCTGATCAAATATCTGAACATTTATGTAAATTAAAATCATGAAGAGAAGAGAATGACACTAAAAAGCTGATTGACATTTTGTTGACAGATTTATAATAAATCATAAATTAACATTTTCTTGGGATGTTAAACTCAGTAGTCAATTGACAGTTAATTAAATCTCAGCTGATATTAAGCAGTCAGGATGAAAGTTGAACTCATCAACAGCCAATATTTGAAGTTCTATTTCGTCCACACTGATTCAAATAGAAAATTTGACAACTGATTTTATATATTAGGCATTTTCAACTATGAATCATTTCATTTTCTTGCTAAGCTTTTTATTTGAAATTCAAATTTTTGATAATTTTTAGAAAATCTGTTGGGTTGGATTCAAATCAATGGGAACATAAACAGACACAAGTTTTAAAGAAATAATTATTCCCTTGCATCACTTTGCAGATTCACGGTCTTTAAATACAATAAACTCTGAAAATGCTGCAGCTTGTCACTACATTCAGTTATATATTAGAATTTGAATCACTTTGCAAGTTTTGCAGTGAACTTGGACATTTGTACCAATAAAAAAAAAACAAAAAAAAACAGTGTATCAAAAGAACAGTTTTTCCCTTGACACCGCTATTATTTTAACTAACTTCCCTCCTTGGCAATTTTTATTGTTTTAAAAAGTTATGATTAGAATTGCAATAAAAGCTAAACATGATGAAAGTGAATTTATACATTTTTTTTGTTCTTGAGAATTTACAAAAAAAATATAAAACTATTAGATTTTTTATTTACAAGAATAATTTCATATTTACAACATTTTAAAACCTAATACAAAACTAATGCAATGCTAAATTTATCATTTACCAAATTATTAAGAAATAAATATGAAAATTTTTTTATTCATAAATTTATAAAATTTTACTAAATTATTAAAATATGTGAACTGTTATGAATAATCAAGAGTGGTCTCCCCTTGTTTTGTTACACTCCTCTTTGAGAGAGCTATTTGTTTACTGGGACTATAAAAGGACACTATATGCAAACCTTGTATTCTCAGTTGAATAAAGCTTTCTACACCTGTAGACCTGTGTACTTTTGTCATTATATCAACTATAAGGAATTCCTTATTATTTTCCATTTTATAAAGTTTGAATCATTTGGCAGTTATCCAATGTTGTGCCAACCATTCCAATAAACAGTATAATAGTGTAAACAATCTATCTAATAAATAGTGTTTATTATTTTTGTTGTCAATTCTCAAGAACAAAGAAAATGTATAAATTTACTTTCATATGTTTAGGTTTTATTAGAATTCTAATTATCACTTTTAAAAACAATAAATAATGCCGAGGAGTGAAGGTAGTTAAATTAACAGTGGTGTCAATGGAAAAGTCTAAGTTTGCCAGTTTTTCTTCGCTGAAAATAAAACTTTAAATAGATCTTTTAGCAAAATTTAGCAACAAGGACATGACTTCAAAATATGTTCCTTATCTTATTTTAGTATTTAAAAGGAAATATGTATTGTTAAGATAATTGAATGTTTTTTTTAACCATGCAGATTTCACTGTTCTAATTTGTAACAAAGAATATTTATTTTGGAAGTGATTCTAAAAGAAGGTTTCTGTTTTTGAAATGAGCAAATTGATCTCTATGGCAGACGATATTTTAATACAAAAAAAAAAAAAAATTTCTGACATTAGACTCCAATTAAAAAAATCCTATTATGCATTATTATTCTGAATTTTTATCTTTAAGGTAATTTTTTCATTTCACAAATGCACTTAATGCCCTGGTTAAGTGCAAAAGACATGAGATAACTTTCTTTTGTATAATACAGAAAATTTAGATTACAACTTGTATAATCAAAGTAGCATTTATTCTTTGGAACAATTAAATTTATTTTTAATGTTGGAATTAATTGAGCTTTATTTCAATTTAAGATCAGTTACAAATTTACAGAAACTAGCAAATTCAAAAAATACTCTGAATTAAGATGTACTCTATACAATGAATTAATAAAACAAGAGATTTATTTAATTCCCATGAAGGCATATAGTAAAAAAAAAAAAAAAAAAATTAGGAAAAATTTTGCAATTGTGGCTTTCAAATGCTTTTGCTGTACTGAAATATTACAACTGTTCTTCTGAAAGTCTGGGTTTGCAAATAAAAGATTTCATTATGATTAAATTTGATAATTAAAGAAGATTTTGACACCAGTGTATAGAAAAATTTTACTTGTTTTTTTTAATGGTGTTTTAATGGTGCCTATAGATTGTGTTTTTTATTAAAAAATGTTTATACGTGATATAAACAATAAAAACTTATGGCCTTGTTAAAAAAAAGAAGATAAATTATTTAGAGTCAAATTCATCTCATCAAGTCATCAAATTAAAGGTGAGATTACGAAAAGTAACGAAATAAAACTTAGTCATTCTTGTATAATATTTTTTTTTTTGCATGTGTGGGATGAGAAGCAACCATAATAATTAATTTTTCAGTAATGAGCTTTTAACTTACAATCATAATTGTCTCATCAGTTCTTAGCCATTTTGATAACATGAAGAAGTCAAAGGTTTTTTTTATCATGGTCACAATATAACTTTTGTCTTTTTTTTTTAAAGCAATTCCTGTAAAAGTATATTTTAATAAATATAAATTTCTGATTGTTACAAAAACAAATTAAGATCAATTCTACTATTTGCATACATAAATTCAAATATAAAAATAGTGTTGGATAACAATATACATAAAATCCTTTATTCTGTATTAGTTTCAAAAATTTATCAGAACCAGATAAAAAGAAGAACATCAATACAAACTAAAAATAAATTAAAAAACAGTATTCAATGTATAAATGGTATTAAAATATCAAATGATGAATACTGCTTCAGCTAAATTTTATTTTCATCATTTTAGTCTGATTGAATAGAAATGAAAGTGATGTGAGGGAGAATATTTCCCTATTCGGTCGTCAGATGAAAGATGTAAAGATACTCCTACATCAAGAGGAGTAGTAGCAGGAGGGGCAGCAGCAGTAGCTTTTGCTGGAAACAGTCATTCACAGCTAAACATTCTCTTCCGTAGTTTCTATTCTACATTATGTTTCTCTGTACCAAAAGGTAATAAAACTCATCCTCATTGCCAAACTCTTGTAAGTGAATTATCAAAAACAACAGTACAGAAACCAGAATTAGGTTAACAACAAGTTTATTACCTTTTGGTACAGGGAAACATAATTTAGAATAGAAACTAGGGAAAAGAATATTTAGCTGTGAATGACTAAACTGTTTTCAGCAAAAGCTACTGCTCCTCCCGCTACTGCTCCTCCCGCTACTGCTCTTGATGTAGGACTATTTTTACCTCTTTCATCCGATGACCGAGTCCAGACTTGTAACAAAATATTCTCCCTCACAACAGAAAGGAATAAGCCATAATATATAATATTTATACATATATATATCACAGTAGATGTATTATTTGAAAAAAATAAGTTAAATTTCAATAATAATAATCACAGTCAGTAGAAAATGAGTTGATGCTGAAACCAGAATCTTTTGGTTAACCTGGCTTCAAAGCAGCAAAGTGTTTGCTGCATCTGAGCTGAGTAGTGAATTCTGTGAGAAAATTACTGATAGGTGAATCCCGTTCAGACCTCTTGCCATCAGTGATCACAACTAAAGAAATACGAGGTTCCACCAAAGAAATGAAGTAAGTACTGTGGGCATTCTAAAATGAACAAATAAAATAAAAACAAAATTAAAGTGAAGAAAAAGAAACTTTTTCTCTCATTATCTACCAGTAACGTAAAATACTTAGAACAAGTTTTAGACTCAAATGAAAGATTCAAGAAAAATTTACTCTGGTAAAAGAAAATACATGTTTATGTACATTAAATAGAACCTGTAAGAGAAATTGAAAATTAAGAAAAGTAATTACTCAGCTATCTTATTTAAAATGAAAATATCAAGAAACTAAAGATTATTTTAAAAGATACTCTCAACCATTTTTATGTCACACACCTCTAGAAAATGTTGGATGAATGGTCGGTTGATTTTGTTTAGTGGCATATTTCTCTATGGTTTATTTAATACTGAAATCTACATTTTTTTTAAATAATCTTATGGCTTCAACTACTGATAAAATATATTGTTGGTCATTTTGCTTTAAATACCAGGCTTTGCAAAAGTCCTGTTACACTGTGTTATTTTAGTTTCAAAGCTTGAATAGACAATGTTTTGGGTGTAATAAGACAAATAATTTATTATGTGCTTACACAAAACCATTAATCAATATTCCCACCCTGAGAAGTGAGTATGAGGTTCAGGCATGCTCAGAAGGCTGCACACATTTTACTGGACGTAAGCTGTCCTCATCCAGTCCCATGTGCGGTTAACAGAGGACTTCAGCTCTTTGACATTGCTATGGTGAACTTTGCAAGCTTTGTTCTCGATATGCGCCACACACCGTAGTCCAGAGAGTTGAGGTTGGGCAACTGTGGTAGCCAGAAGTCCTTCAACCAGAAATTCATGTTTGACTCCCAACCAATCTTGCACAACTTTTGCTGTGTGTGCTGGGTCACCATCCTGCTGAAAAACAGTCTGCATTCTTGGATATTTTTCTCACTCAAGTCAGGACTTTTGTGGCCAAGATAACTCTGTAGTAAGCTGAAGTTAACCTGTAGCCAGTTTCAAACTACACAGGCAGGATCTTCTCCCCATTTGAGGTCATGACGCCAAGCATCATCATAAAGGTCGTAGACATGTAGCGGATCTCGGAGATGTCCTGGTTGAAACTAACAACGCAATCGTCCTGCTTGTTCACGACCGGATCCACTGTGAAGGTTTTTTCATCTGAGAAAATTACAATGTGATTGCCATGGCTTTTCAAATCATTAAGACGACAACAGTGCTCTCAATATTTTTCTTGCATGCAAACAGTTAGCAGGGGTCTTTTCACATGCCTGAAGCTTTTAACTTCATTCTTAATGGCCCTGGACACTGTAGTCACAGAGATATTATTTTTATTTTTGCAAGCTCAGTGATTTTGAGCTTTGGATTCTTTTCAAATACTTTCCTAACAGTCAACTTGTTGACAACTAGAGGTCTGCCTGAATGAGGTAGATCCTTGAAGCTGTCACCATTCCTCAGTCTATCTGCGACTCTGTGGACAGTCATCTGACTGACTTTTAGCTGCTTAGCGATTTCTGACTTGTTGTGGCCTGCATGGAGGGGAGCAGATGTCTTAATTCTTTTGACTTCCATTGTTGTATACCTACATCTTACCACTATTTACCTGAAATGATAATTACCTGAAAAGGTCAAATTTTAAGTTATTGTAAATGAATATTATTTTGACAGTTAAAGTTATCACAGAAATTCTAAAAAATGAAGTGTAACAGAACTTTTGCAAAGCCCGGTATGTATTGTTGGTAATTTTACTATAAAAATGTATTTTTATTCATTTTATTATAAAAATATACTGTTGATTTTTGTTATTTACTATTTGCCCATAGCTGGGTCCCTAACAGGTGCTACCACCCTGGGTCAGAGTTGACCTGGGAACAACAGAAATTAAGGGGTGGTTCCATGCTCCTTAAAACCTCCAATCTCCCATTCAGAGACCTTGGCGCCAGATGTAGTGTATCGTCATATCCAGGACGAGTTGAATGAATGCTTATACTTCCTAAAATGACATTACATTTAAAGAAGTCTAGTTTACAATTTTTAAATAACTACATATGTCATTGTGGATGAACAAATTGAACTCAGCACAAATATTACTATGAATAGGGAAATTATGTTTTTTTAATTAAAAAATTTTAAACAGAAAAAAATGAAACAAATATAAAGAAAGTTCAATGTCTTCTTTGCTTCTCATTCATGATTTTGTCAAAAATGCGACCTTCTTTGATTGAATCTGTAATTCAAGTGATTCCTAGATTCTATCTTGATTGACAAAAGAGAACTGAATCCAGATTCACACAAATATATAGTTGCAAATGGAATGGACATGCAGTGCTTTTCTACCAAGTTTTGCAAACACAACTAGTCCTCTAAATTCTTGTTTTCAAAAATTGCATTTAAAGAGATCAATAAGATCTTTCTAAGTGATAATTTGTCGTAACTTGAGGACACAAATTACACAACTCCACCCCATGAAATTCCATTTTACACTTTCTGAGATGTGTGCATCCTAGGTTAGAAATACATTTTAAGATATTTTTTTTATTGCTGACTAAATTTTCTATCAATGACAACATTTGAAAGAACAAAGGGTGAAAAAATAAACAAGGTAAAAGTTTATTTTAAATGGTTTTCTTATGCTTCAAATCTATGAAATGAATTCATTTCACAAAGGCTATTTTAAAAAGTATTGCTAATATTAGTTAAAAAATAAATTTTTTAAAGATATTCATTCAAACAAAAAACATTCTATGAGAATAAAATGTTTTTTGCTCATTTGGGTTTGACTATTTTGACTAATTGTTTTTTCTTTTTTCATGACTATTTTTTCAATAATTAGAAGATGTCGAAGCAATACTGTATCTTATCCATCATTTTTCATTTTTTTTCTTATGAAGTCCATATTTATTTTTCAGAAAAATGAAAATAGAAAACTGAAATTCAGATATTTTGTATGTAAATATAAATTTATTTTGTTTAACTGAAAACATAAAATAAGATGTTATAAAACATTCTAAATTCATGGAGAAAAATAGGCATCATTTATAGATTTTGGTAACTGATACACAAAAATTAATGAAATACAAATATTAAAAATGATCTGCAAAATTCTAAAAGATTAGGAAACAATGAGATCAAAAATATAATGAATTTCCCTTCCTTTTTGAAAAAATTCACATTGATACTAATAAAAAGCAACTTATGACAAGTAGAAACTAAAATTAAAATAAAAAAACAGTAGACCTATGTTTTAGGTTAAATTACTTTTAAAGCTGTTCATCATAAATTATATAATGAATTTTTAAAAGATAAATTGAATTTTATGCAGTTATATAAATAAATTATCAAAGACACTGTAATTTAAAGGGAAATAACTCTTAATTCTTAAGCAGCAGTTTCTCTGTTTTGGGGGTTTTTTTTTTGAAAACTAATCAATTTAACAAATTATAATTTCATTTGTCAATGAAGCTGTTTTTCTAGAATTATTTAATTCAAATGCAAAATTTTAATCACCAGTTAAAAAATGAAATTCATCTAAGAGTTAAATTGTGTATATGAATTTATCTATGACATAAACATTTATTGTAAGCAAAGTGCTAACCAAATTCAGTACAGATTTTTCTTGCTATCTTTTGTGAGCCACCAATGTACAAACAGCAAATGCTTTCAAACATTGTGGAGGCTAGGTTGTTTTATTTTTATTGTAAAATTTTCAAAACTTCTAGATAGTACACTATATATTATTTACATGAAGTGAAATTATACTTCTTTCCAAAATAAAAGAAAAGAAAAAAAAAAGGAGAAATGTAAGTAAAAAAAAAAAAAAAAAAAAGTAAATAAAACAATTAATTACTTACTCTGTCATAGAACCAAACAACCTTTTCTTGTGTACTTATATCATAACTCTTTTTCCCATTAATCATCATTAATATATTTGGCCAATGTTTCTGAACATTTCGATCCTGAAATAAGAAAGGACACAAGAATGATTTGTGTTGATTGAATCAAACAATTTCTCTATCTTAACACTGGATGATTGTAAATTTTTTTCAAGCTCCTTGATTTCCCAATTACAAATTATAATTTGTATTTCTTTTCTTTTTTTTTATACATCTTCATTCTTTTCTTTTTTTATGCAACAGACATTTTTTAACCATCTTTGCTAATGTACTGAATTCAGTGATGAATTCAACACATTAGCAAAGACGGTTACAGATCAAACATTATAGAGTGAAAATTTCAGATCAACATTTGGCTACAGACTTAATGATTCACCCATTGTAGTTTTATGCAATATCAACTCTCTACACTATACAGTATCAAAAAAATAATTTTGTTCAGCACTGAAAAAAAAGAAAAATGCAAACAAGACTGTCCTTTTATGAATCCATGAAAAATAGAGGCAAATATATTTTGCTTATAAAATCTCATTATGAATTTATATTCTAATATTGTATAATGTTTGTGAATCAGTGCTTATTCCCTAAGGTCATTTATTAAATATTCTATCACCATTAACACAAACAATTTACTAAAAATTATGTTTTTTTCAAAAATGCATTCCTAAAATGTCTGAAAAAAACTTTTCCTTCTTAGTAATGATATTATCTTTCATACATAGTATATGTGAATAACAATATAAATGATTTAGCATAATGCCTGTGTGGTTATAGGTGTTATCTGCTATGATACACATTATGTATTTTTATGTATTTTTTCACAAGGTCTTATGAGAAGTTTTGAATCAATCTGAAAATAAGAATAAAAAATATCAAAGACAAGACAGAAAAAAATCAGAAGAATCCAGTCTCTTTAGTGTGCAATAATAAAAAAAAAGTCCTATTGATAAAAAAAGACTAAAGCAACTTTTCCAAAGTTTTCTGTCATCAATAATGTTCTTCAGTGCTTTTAAATGAAATGTAGGCATTATTTTTAGATATAGTTTGAAAGTGGATTAAAAATCTTTTTTGTTTATTATCTGTCGAGGTAAACTTTGCCAGTTCTAACAAATTTGTTTTTGTTATAGCAACTTTACAGTTATAAATAGCATTTTTCATTTTTAATGCCATATCCCATCAGGATTTTTTCTCTTTTTTTAACGCCATATCCCATCAGGATTTTTTCTCTTTTTTTAATGCCATATCCCATCAGGATTTTTTCTCTTTTTTAATGCCATATCCCATCAGGACATAGGTGATCATTGCTCTCCACATGTTCCATATTTCTTTATTATCTATCAACTGCCATGACTTTCTGGGAAAGATAGTGGTGTAGTTTATTGGCATTTTCTCCACAGTTTTGAATACAGATTTGTTCTCCAAGACTGGCTGCTACTCAATGCCAGGGATCCTAGTCTACTTGGCTATTCTACTTGATTGCCTATGTCCTGAAGGGTGATGGCATTAAAAAGAATTGTTGAAATAATGGCAAACCACTAAACACTTTTTGGCAATTCACAGATAATGAAGAAAAATCCATGTCTTGAAGGGTCATTGCATTAAAAATAAAATAAGATAAACTAGAAAGAGATCATTACTGTGGGCATGTTGAGTCATTGAAAATTGCTGTGTTTTTGGATCCATAATCATTCTGACAATCATCACCCCACAAACATGAACACTTTCTGGGCAACTGAACAAAGATCTTCTTGTAGATAATTAATTAAATACAAATTAAAAGAAATAAAAAGCAACTTACAGGAGGATATTTAAAAATTGAAGGATAAGAATTTATTCCTTGTGGTTTGGGCATGCTTCGTTTAGGATGAAAATAACCATGGCTGGTGTAACAGTGATTCAAACCATTTGTATCCGCAACAATCATAAATACAAAGATGTCAGCTTTTTTCTCAAAGTTGTTGATTCTGAAAAACAGAAAATCAAAATTGAATCTATCACAAAATGTTTTGTCTCTTTTCTAAAGTCAAAAAGATTATTTCTTTTGCTTTGTTCATGAACAGATATTTAACTGCAAAGGAATTTAACATTTCTTACTTAACCTTTTACAGAGTTATTGAACATAGTTTTTCCTGCATACAAAAACAGACATCTTTTTTCTTTTTACAAAAAGAATACTTTTAAATATCCCCCAATATTTATGCATGTACCTCCAAAACTCTCACCTAAAAAAAAAAAAAAAACGTTAAAAAAAATCAGAAAATTAAAAAAAAACATGCAGATATCAATGATGTAATCTAATTTTTGGTGAATATTAAAACTGGTGTATTTTGTTAAAAAAAACAAAAAGGCAAAGAAAATATTTACCTGACATAATAATCTTCAGGTAGTTTACAGCAGAGTGATCTCATTTCAGATGAGGAATTGGCATTCCTGCTAATTGTTTCATAAAAGTATATGCTGAACTGAAAGAGCAATTTTTGAAAATCATAGTCAAAAAGTTGTAAATAAAAGATACATGAGAATTTATATGACAAGCAAATTTATTAAAAAAAAAAAAGACATTTTAAAAAATGTTTTCACTAAACAAACAAGTATAAACTATACTTATTTTCAAATGATTCAAGACTTCATTTTGTGTGCTTAAAAAAATAAAATAAAATTCAGGAGCATAGTAGATTGGTCCATGCATAAAAATAGAGAAAAAGAGTTTTTTGATATAAATTTTGTAAATTGATTTTTTTTTATTGTCATTATCAATTCAGTGTAAAATTGATCCCTGAAATTTTACAGAGTTAATGAACATAGTTTTTCCTGCATACAAAAACAGACATCTTTTTTCTTTTTTTTTTTACAAAAAGAATACTTTTAAATATCCCCCAATATTTATGCATGTACCTCCAAAACTCTCACCTAAAAAAAAAAAAAAAACGTTAAAAAAAATCAGAAAATTAAAAAAAAACATGCAGATATCAATGATGTAATCTCAGTTTCAAACTTGACATTTGTAACTAAAAGCAAGATCCAATAGCTCTGTAAAAAGTCACAGATCAATTTTATACAATATCGATATTATGAAAAGAAACTTCTAAATCAGTTTTAAAGAAGAAAAAAAAACAATATTGATTTGTTTTCTATGGTTTATCAACCCACTGCAGATTATTTAAAGCCAGAAAATATTTTTAAATTGTAAGTATTTTTTTTTTTTTAGATAATAATGATTTAGTGATACAAATTAAATTGGAACTCGGCTCTCTGCTTAACAATTCCAAGCCATTAACCATTACACCACCCACACACCCAAGCTTACAGAACCTGGTATTCCCAAGTGGTCATCCATCTAGTCACTGACCAGACTTGATGTTGCTTAACTTTGGTGATTGTATGGGAACTGATGTTTCAACATGATATGGATGTAAGCCCTACAATATTTATTGATTCTGATAAATGTGGTTTAAGAAAGGTCTAATAAATGCTAATCTATAAGTTATTACTTGAAAATAAAAAAAATAAACTATTTTATGCAAGTAGAAAAGTCTATTTAAGTAGTGCCAAAATCCAATTTAAATATTGGTTTTCAGTTTTAATATTAAGCTTTTCTATTGTTGCATTTGTGTTTATTCCAGAGTGAGGAAAAATCTAATCAAGAAGTCAGATGAGAAAAAAATGTCCAATCAGTGTAATATCATTATTGATTGAAAAAGAGAAAAGAGTTATTTCCCCTGCACTTGTCTAATGATTCTCATCACATAGCGCAGAATTAGGATGCATAGTTCCAGCCTTGTACAGATACCTTTGGGAAAGGGCTTGCATTAATCACTTCTCCTTCAGCTACGCCTTAAATAGCAAAGTAGAATGGGCTTTCTAGCTTTGGGTGTCAACTGGTCTAAAAGAACAACTCAGCTGAATTCAAAAATTGTGAAAAAGGATAAAGGAAATCACTATCTTTCATGGCAATTCAGTCGGTTATGTGCCATGTGTGATACAAGCTTATGCAGTCATCTTTCAATACATGACTGATGAGGCAGATTTTTTCCCACGGTAAGTTACCCTTTCTTTCTGTGGTAGACGAGTTGCGATCTAAGGCTATAGAACCCAGTCTGTCCTGCTATTTACCCATAGCTGGAGGAAGAAGAGCATTCATACCTTTCCCAAGGGGTATTAGCACGTAAGTGAATGTAATGGATTCAACTGGAATTCAAACTCGGCTCTCCAATTCCTCAATCTAAGCCACTATCCATTACACCACCATGTCTCCATGCCATGGCAAATTACAGATAATAAATAAAAGGAACCTGTAGAGAACCATGAACATCTACATCTGGAAGGAACAGAGTTAAGAAAAATCTGTAGGTAAACATTTAGACAACAAAGAATTTTGAAACAGTATTTACTTCCATTTTAATATTTTAGTTGCTTTTTATCACAAGCAAGATGAAAGCAAGTAGGGATCAAAAATGAATAATAATGGTTGACAATGCTTGATCTAATCAAAAAAGAATGATAATACTACTACTACTACAACTACTACAGACTACTTAATTTTACTCATTATAAAGTAAGAATAAATCAGAGAAACAAGAAATAATAATAATGATACATACCTTGGATAATAGCAGATTCTTGTATTTTGTTAGCCACGTGTACAGTGCAGGCCAGTTGCCATGTCGGTTAGCACTCACAATGAATGCAGACCGTTTAGGCTGTCAATAATAATTGTTGTTTTTAGTTTCCAAATATCAGAGGCATTTTATAAGTCATTGAATAGCAAAATCACATTTAGTATGTAATAACGACACATTAAAAAATAATTTATTTTATTACAGGAATAAATTTCCTACCGAGTGACATTTAGTAAATAAGCATAAAATACAATTAAGTATTAACCAAAAAATTAACTGAGTATGAATCCGTAAAAGTAAAGAAACCAACAAAGATGAAAATCCTTAGCAATGATCTGAAAAATTCATATGTTAATCAATGAACTGGGGGTGGTATCATAATCAACAGGTTGTCTACGTTAGGCTACCATATTTTGAAAATACGGAACATGAAACTGTTTTATACAGAGGATTAAAAGTATTTTAAAAAATAAAAGAAAATTGATTTTATCATCAAAATATTCTCTCAGAACAAAAAGAACATTCCCTATTGACAGATGTTAATTTGAAAGTTTTCTTTTTCATCGATTGAATTTACCAGCAGGAGTTGGTAAGAAAAATTTAAGCCCAGAAAATAGTAAGCAAAATTTTAGATAAGGATACAACAGTCAAAATAATGTGATAATAACAACAAAGATGGGGACAATAGTCTGCATGTAAATAATGAAGATACATACCTTTCTAAAAAGTGCTAATCTTTGAATTGAAACCATATCGCCAAAATGTTGACACTGGATCTTCTACCTACCACTCTCTTCCATAAAATTATTTCTTCTTTCAGGTTAACCCAATCTAATATTAATTCTAGTGGAGTGGGGGGAACTGACCCATTTTTTTTTTCATATGATAATAACTTTTCTGAAAGAGTTGTCTATAATTTTATACATACAATACTCTGCAAAAATCTTGTAAATTTCTAATAATTGCCATCTTATAAGTGGATGTTTTTTATTGCGCTGTCTGCAGATGAAACTTTGGCTATATTGCAGTCATTTTCACACCTAATTATCATATTTTTTTAGTAAGGGTTCTGAAAAATGTGGAAAATGTAAGATGACCTCAAAAAATGGCAGTGCAAAAGATTTTGGGCACCTCAAACAAACCAAATCAGACGCTGTGTTTTGAAACAGAAAAATATTTGTAATGAAAGTGTTATATTCCGTGCTAATATGAATATATACTTGACAAACACGGTGGATAAAATAAGTAAAGGTTTATTGTAATAACTAGTACAATAAGAAATAAGGTAACAGTCATGCACACGATCATCACAAGTCAATCCAGTAGCAAGTGCTACTATTGGAAGGTCAGTAGTTCGCATGTAAGTCTGAGTCGTACTCAACAGATCCCAGTTAGACTCTGTAGTCTGTTGACTTACAGATACTTATAGGTAGTTACTACCTATAGTGGGTAACAGGTTATTCCATTACATCAGAAAGTTTATTATACAATCTTCATTTTAAGAACTTAATGTACATTGTTTACATTGTTCTCCTCATCTTTATGTGTCCATTTTTGTACAAAAGGAAACTCCATAATGACCCTATTGACGGTTCAGAGATCCCAGTTGTAGATGAATACAAGTTTCTGGGGTAATATTTGACAAAAAACTAACATTTATTCCCCACCTGAAATACTTAAAAACCAAATGTAACAAAAAACATTACAACTACTGGCGTGGTAACCCACACAAAATGGGGAGCAGATCAAACACTCTGTTATTATTGTATAGATCCCTAATTAGATCAAAATTGGATTACAGTAATTTTATACCGTTCAGCCAGAAAATCCTATTTAAAATGCTTGACCCGAACTACCATGGAGGTTTGAGGTTAAATTTAGAACATCTCCAGTCGAGAGCCTATATGCTGAGGCTAACGTGCAAATAGTAGAAGCCATAAACTGGCCCTCCAGTACTATGTCAAATTAGGGTCATGCCCAGCAAATCCTCATTACAATAGTACCTTCTATCCAAAATACAAAAAATTATTCCAAAGGAATAAAAAAAAAGCCATAAAACCCTTTGGACTTCGGATGGAAACAATTATAGAAGAAGCAGATGTAGATTTGACAAAAATCCATAAAACAATCATACCAGATATCCCACCTTGGACCATAAGAACCCCAAACATAAACTTAACCCTCTGTAAATACTACAAAAAATAAAACCCACCCACTAATTTTCCAAGAGGAATTAGAGAAAGTTAAGGAGAGATATCCTAGGCACTCACATGTCTTCACAGATGGATCTAAAGTAGGAAAAATAACAGGATGTGCACAATATATAATAGAAAAATATTTAAAAAACATCTCCCAAATGACACCTCTATATTCAAAGAAGTTTTGCCCAATTAACATGGCTCTTAACCTCATCTCAGAATCAAGGAACAACAAGTTCATTATCTTTTCTGATTCACTATCAGTATTAGAATCACTAAAAAACAGGAAGTTTGATAATCCATTGATAGTGAAAATACTATGTAAATTAGAACACCTATCAAATGATAATGATATACAGATATGTTGGGTCCCAGGTCACACTGGAATCCCAGGCAGATAAAGCAGCCAGGTCTACTCTAAATATGACCATAGAAAAAAATTTCAAAATACCATATACAGACCTTAAAATGAAGATAAATAAATACATACTGCAACAAAAGACAACAACGCTGGAACAGCAATAGTAATAATAAATTACTAAAAATTAAACCTGAATTGGGAGAATGGAAACAGAGCTATAGGAAAATAGAAAAGAGGAAGTGATATTGTCCAGACTTCGTATAGGCCATACAAGGACAACACATTCCTACTTACTTGAAGCAAAGCAACAACCAATGTTTATGCATTTTGAAACACATTCTCATTGAATGTACTGACCTAGCCCATATAAGAGAAACGCTTTATAGTGCAAGTAACATGAAGGAACTTTCCAAAAACTGACATGGATAACATAATATTTCCTGAAAGCAGTCAATTTGTAAAAAAATCTAAAAACATAAAAAGTTGGGATTTTCTGCAAACTTTGCTGCAAGGAATGTTTTCAACAAAATCTGATTCTTTCTGCATACCATTTCTCAAAAAAGGAAGAAACTTCCTAATGATACAATTCTCTACAAAAAATTTTTTGACAGAACCAGATTTTTCTACAAACCATTTCATTTCTAAAACCTTTTTTCAGCATGGCAAACCTCTCCGTTTGTGGAAATGGAAGGACTATTATATTGGAAAATAATATTCAATAATAACCTGATTTGACATTAAATGACTGTCGATATGTCTTCATCTTTATTGCTATATTCACAATGTTTCAGCTGTCATACACTTCAGCCTTCTACAGAAATATAGACAGTTAATGCACATTCTTAATATCTTTTGTGGCTTTCAGTAGCTTGAATAATTGCTTCAATGCATCTGGTATAGGATGCGTACAAATCCTTCACTATCTTCAAATGTATTGGATACCATTCCCTTGTGGATTCTTCTGATGAATTCTACTCATTAGTTCTGTAAACATTTGATTTATTATTTAAATCTATCTCTAATCAGGCCAATCTTTCAATATGGTGACACATTCATTAATGAATTTCTGTTGTGTTGCATGCAGTTTGTGATATGGAGCTCCATAAAGCTAAAAAAAATCTCACCTTCATCCAAGTCTGCTATCAAATGTTCCATCAGTAACAGGAGGTATTTGGCACTATTCAAACTATTGTCAATTTTCTTGAAGCATCCACTTTTATGCAGCCCTAAAGCATCAGACGCCCCCCCAAAAAAAAACTTCAGTGTTATATAACATGAGTCATTTTGGTTTCCTGTAGGCCTTCTGACAAATTCACACTTATTAGTATGCAGTTCCATCTTTGTTTCATTGCTGAATGGGATCTTATCCCAAGGATGTGCATCTCATAGTTTGAACCAATTTGACTTCCTTAATGTTGCTTTCAAATGTGTTTTTATTTAAAGCTGGTTTCTTCATTGAAATGGATCTCTTCATTCCAGGCTCTTGAAAGACATGCTTAGTGTTATCTACGGACACTAAATTAAACAAGTCATGCTCAACCATAACTTGTCTATTTTTTTTTCACTGAGATTTTTACTGTCTGGATCAGTTTCCATATTTTATGTTGAAGCTTTCTAAGGAGACCATAAATTGGTCGATTCAAAACACTTCCAGTGCTTTGAGACTTCCAAGATATTTTCTGAAATGGCATTTCTTGATATTCTGAGGCGAATGAAGAAAACAGTAACCAGTGAGTAAATTCAAGCTCTCCCAGCTGGTATTTCAACCTTGAGTCGTTCCTTCTTGAGTTCTTCGAGGGACGTTCACGGTTGACGGCAAGAACGGGCAGTTAGTGTGATTTGGAGACAGAACTCAAGAAGGAACGACTCAAGGTTGAAATACCAGCTGGGAGAGCTTGAATTTACTCGCTGGTTACTGTTTTCTTCATTTGCCTCACATTCCAACTTCCTTAGCAATTCGTCACTGGTTCATATTCTCAGACCAGTTGCCAACAGAACCCAGTCTGTCCTGCTATTTATCCATAGCTGGAGGGAGAAGAGGATTTCACCTGGTTTCTTTGGAAATTTGATTTCAAGTAATGAAAGTATGCAGGAATTCAATGAGTTTTCCTACTTATAGGATAAATTCTGAAATTTACCCTATATGTAGGAAAAAAATCAATCCTGTTCCAAAACAATATTTGTCATTTAGAGGTGGAACATAAAAGAAATAGCAAAAGAGGTCAGGTGGTCGAAGAATTTTGCTATTATTGGGGGGTTGTCTCACAGAACTCTTATGAAAAAATATGATAATTAGGTGTGAAAAATGACTCCAATATGGCCAAAGTTTCATTTGTAAGACAGCATATAAAAATTTCCACTTCTAAGATGGTTAGAAATTTACAATAGTTTAAATGGACTGAATTGTGTATGGCATTGGATTTATTATTATCTGTATCTCCACTTGGTGTAGAATAGGGGAGATTTTGGAAACAGTCTTCAACAAGTCTACATAAAATAAAAAGTCAACATACCCTAATGTA